TATATGAGGACGGTCATGATTTGATGGTATTGGATATTGCTCTACCAAGGGCTGCTAATATAACATCGTTCAGGTATATCAAGAATCGAGTGAAGGTTGTGAATGACCAATAGAGAATTTGTTACTTTTAGATAGTAAGAAATTATTATTCATATTTTATTTAATTAAGTCGATAATGAAATCCCTGGCCAAGGGATGCTCATAAGTAAAAAGGAGTTTTCGACTTACATTGATTTAATAATGGAATGAAAGATATGATTGATAATTGAGATTGACACTTATACATATCTCGTAATTGATCGGATTATATTGACAAAGAGATTATAGTCTTACGGTAAATGAATGAGTTTGATTTTGTCATATTATATGACATTTTCTGTCACATGTATTTTCCTAACACATTGCTAGATGTCAAAATGGGATGACGAGTGTGAATTAATGATAAATTAAAAGGGTGTTTTAATTTATCAATTTTTATTAAATCAAAATAATATTTCACGTCGTTACGTGTCGTGATCGAGAATTTGATGGGTTGTACACAAAAGGAGAATTGGAAGATTGTGATTTGTCAATTAATTAATTTAACAAGTGTTTGATAAATTAATTAATTAAGTTGCTTATTTATAAGCCTGAATTAATTAATTAATTAATTCACGGATCGAATTTAATTAAATGAGTTAATTAAGTATTGGACGGGGTTATGTCGAGCCCGTTTGAGCTTATATAAATAAGTTATTAAGGTTTACAATTTGGTAGAGGATTCATTATTCTTGTTATCACAAGAAAAACTTTAATCCTACAATTTTTTTCTCTATGTGGATCATCGTTGGAGGTTGGACGATTGGACAGCTACAGGTGGCAAATCAAAATCGTTGGAGCAAAGAAAAAGCAAAGGGGTTTGCAGATCTAGAAAAATGTATGATTTTTATCACAATTTCTATCTAAACACAAAGATAAATATTAATGGAAATCAAAATTGTAAGTAGATTCCCACCATTAACATTATATCTTCTATGGAAATACAAATGAAAATTTCTTTGAATTGATTCGGATGTGAAAAAAGTAAGTTATGGTCCGTGATGGTAGCGTCAATCTAAATCATTTACGATTGCACGATCAGCTTTATAAACGATTACGAGCTAAGTATTTTTTATACATCATTAAAAAGGTTACACGAACATAAAAATATTCAAAATAACTTACCTTTTTCGCTTATAAATCAGCTTACTTCAAAGTTGATAATTTAATCTCAAGAGTTTTGCTATTTTTTTATTAAGCCCTTGTTTGAGCCCCATTTTTCCAAAATTGCATATTTTCAAATCTTATTTTTAACCACATATTTTTTCATAAAATAATTATAAACATATTTCAAAATTTTTTCTTACATTTTAACAACACATTCTTAAAAAAAAATCATTATTTCATAATACATTTTACCAAAAAATGGGAATCAAACAGGGGCTAAATTTTTTGACCTTTGGATCAACTCCTGAGTCCTTAATCTTTTACGTTTTCCAACTCGATTGGACCGATCTTAAAATCATAAGATATTTTATTATTACTTAAGTTTTCTTATAACGAATGACTTACTAACTCCTTATAACTCGTTGGACGTGACTTTTGAAAAGTTCAAATTTGCTTCTGAATTTAGAAAATAATTCTAAATATGTTTATATAATTTTTTAAAATTGCTTTGTCTGTCTAGAATTTCTTTTGAAGAAAGAGGATATAAGGTATCTTCCTCATCAAGCTTTTTAACGAAAAGCAAAAAAGTATAGCCTGCCAAACATGCCATTAAATTATGTTTAAATGTTTTATTATGAACCTTTTATTTAGCTCATGTTCTCAAAGTCAACAATAAATTTTAATAACGTATTTCATGAGACTTACAACTTTTCAATTACACATTACACCGACTTTGATCAAAATCTACTAAAAATCTTATTTTAATTCTGACTAAGGGCTTAATATTTTGCAATTTATCGTATTTTAGTAAATAAATTTCTTCTGACATTTGGCCCATGTGTGATGGCCATTATTTTGAAAAAATGAAGTTTTAAATATTGATTTTTTTTTTTTTAGAGAATTTGTGATTAAAATGTAAGAAATTTTTTTGAATTTACGTGCGAAATATTTTATAATATAAGTCCATGTTTAAGCCACATTCTAAAAAAAAATTCATTATTCATGTCAAATCAATTAGAAATGTGTGGTTAAAAATAAAGAAAAATTTTAAGTTTGCATGTAATATTATTTTATTTAAGAATGTATGGTTGAAATAATATCAAATCACTGTTGAATAATATATTTTTTTTGAAAATAATGTGGCTCAAACAAGCCCTAAATATATAGTTAAAAAATAAATATGAGAATTAAAAAAAAATTATTTTACAGGGAGAGAAAGAAAGGCTTAAACCTTGAGGGGTAGTTCAGCGATCAGACTTTGAATTTGCTCCCGAATGGTCACCAGTTTAGGTCCCCTCAAGGCTGTTGAGGCTAGTATCCAATTGTAAATTTCAGGGTCCCGTGGAATTAGTCAAGATGTTTGTAAGTTGGCTCAGACACTCATTGTTAAAAAAAGAATAAAAATAAAAATAAAAATAATTGGGGCTTAAAACCAGATAAAAGCAAAGAGCCCTTCCACATGCCACATATGTGGTGCACCTGTAAGTTTTTGACTGATATAACTCCATAGTAACACTCATAATCCACAAGAGATGTTGACAAGCAAAATGAAATCAACGGCTCTGATTATTCTTTGAGGTCAAAATTCTGTAGATTAGATTACAAATTGTGGGCCCTCACAAGTGGGCCATATTGCTTAGATTTAATTGCCTAATTAATCCTGGCAAAGCACGTAAAGATTTGAAAGGGATTTGTTGGGTCATACTTTTATGAAAAGTTTATGCTTCAAATGAAAGACTTTGTTCCGCCCTTTATTTTTAATAATGACAATTAAGAAAGGCACATTTATTTACAATCATGAATTTACTAAATTGCCCTTGATAACCGTTGGAGAAAAAAATTTAAATTAATTGGCTTTAGTCAAAAAGTCATCAATTGAATCTGCACAAATTTTTTCTGGGAAATACGACAGATCTTGTTTGGAAAATTGAGACTTGTCGACTTAAATATAATACAAGTATAGGAATAGGCATTTTTATTTGTAACCATTCCAAATGAATTGGAATTGGCATAATTTTATTCGATTTTATTCAGTTATTGTTATGAAGATTGAAAACCTAACGATTATGTTCGATTATCATTTATAGTTACATAATCGAATTTTAATTTGCTTAAAATATTATTTACTTAGAATCTTCTGAGTTAAATTAACATTGACCTAATTTATGCGAACTTATATTAATCAATAGATATTCAATAAACAACAACTTTGCTGCTAGAAATAGAAGTACGAAAGTAAAACAAAAAAAAATTTACAATCTTTTATAAAGTAGATATAATAAAAGTTGATAACTGTACATATGAAAATTTTTATAAAGTAGATATAATAAAAAGAATGGAAGACACTTGAGAAAATTGAAAATTGATTCTTTGTAGCAAAGATGACTCAAATTTGAAAATAAGGCCATTTAAGAAGTTCATAGAATTTTGTTTCAAAAAATAAGTTCATAAATTTAGATGCATGGATCACCAATAGACCATTTATTTTCCTAATCAATCAAATTCACTGATTTTTGAAATCATTAATGGCATAGATACTTGCTTTTGACTATTTAAAAGCATATTCAAGGGACTTTCAAACATGCTTTAAGAGAATCTTTAAATTGACATTTTAATTTAGATCCATAAAAAAATAAGAAAATAATTTAGAGAAAAGTTAGTTAAAATAAAATATAGAGAAAAATAATAAATATTTTTTGGGAGTAGTAAAATTAATTGTTAAATATAAAAAGCCTGTTGAAGTGCTTCAAAATTTTTACCGTCTATATTTGTAGATGCTCTCTAAATGATAGAATATGCTCATTAAAAAAAAAAAATAGTCTCTTGAAAATGCTTTTACCTAATTTGTGCACTGATGAATTATGAAATAACCTACTTTATTTATGAGTGTCTAATTAATGCAAAATCTAAGTACAAAAATATTCTCATAATTCTTAATAAACAACATATAAAAATTATAGGCGTATATAGAAATCAAAAGTCCTACCAAATAAAACGGATCAAATTCATAAATAGAATGCACAAATTATTTTCAGCTGTACTATTGACATGGAGATCTAAATGAGCACAATTTGATTCATGTACCAGCATTTATTGAGTCTTCCTTTCCTTTTTTGTTTGTTTGTTTGTGAAAGTCCAGCATTTAGAGATTATTTGATTGAAAAGAAATAAAATTTAATTATGAAATAGGAAAATGGTATATTTCCATATATTTATGATAGTGAGAAAATTACTTGTGGAACAATTTTTATTTACCTTCAACTATAAATTGTAAATATAGAATTTATTATGTAGCGATCAACTCAAAACTAACAATATTGTGTCATTTTTGAACCTTTTTTTCCTGATAATTTACACTGTTGATTTCTTTATCGATAAATTTCAAAATGCGTAACGGTTTTTCCACCGTAAATGCAGGAAAAGATGTAGGTATTTGGTAAGAATACGACATTATTATGAAAATCCATAATTTCACCATCATATTACATAAATTTCTCATCAAAATTTTCGATTACGTTAATACAATAACAAAAATTTTATCAACATGATATCATATTTTGCAATACACGCAATCTTAAAGCAAAACAAACATATTGCTTTGTAATGCACATTCAATGCCAACCACATTGTGTGTCAAACAATGCCTATCTTGAAGGCTCTATTATCAAAATTCATACATTTGCTTTCACAAATACAAATTCTCTATTTTGGATTCCCTCTTGAGACCTATCCCCATAAATATTTTGGGTTTTTCAATTTCTCCATAAATATTTTTTCTCAGACAGCTATAAATTGTGTATCTGTACATCTCATATTTGCCTTCACTCAACTTCTCTCTCTCTAAATTGCAAGCCAAGTCTTCTTTCCTGCTTTTTTGAGGTCCCTCTTTCACATTCACAGAACCCCACAAAAACAATTAACCCACCAAAGCTTTTATGAAGAGAAAAAAAAAAACAGCCTTTCAAAAAAAAATAATAATAATAGTAAAGTGTATTTGTTCTTGTGAAGATTAGATTTTTGTCTGGTTTTGTTGAGTAAATTCTTTAAATATTGGCACTATAATTATTATTAATTTCTTGAGTTCTTTTGGCCCACTGCAGGCCACACCTTCTACTTGTAAACTACTCCTCCTGAGCTGCTTCACTTTTTGTTAGCTATTTTATATTTTATTTTATTTTTTTTCCTGGCTGTTGTGGGATTCTTGTATCTCTTCTCCGCATTGGGACCATATCTATGCTCATTTGGGCTCCGATTACACAGAAGACCCTTTCTTTGCTTTATTGATTACCAAGAAAGAAGATCGAGGGTGTTAAGTTCAGATCATTTGCAAAGGTAAAAGCGTTCTTTTGGATTTTGAATCTAGTTCTTTATCTTTCTTTTGCTTGGATCATAAGTCTTGCATTTCTTGATTTTGTTTCATTTTTCCCTAAAATTTATTTTAGGGATTGGATTTAATGATGTAAATTAATGGGTATGTATTTTTCTATTTGATTTATGATTAAATGCTGTAATACATGTGATGGTTCTTGCATTTCCTGAAATAGGATTTTGCTGATTCGTTAAATGTGTAGAAAAATAGGCGTATGTGGTCACAGATTTTCTCTAAACTATTAACTGAATGTGTTTTAATGTTTTGTTTTAGTACCCTGTGAATTTTTGTCTGTTGAGCGAAGTTTGCTTCAAAATAGTGAAATTTAGTTTTTCTTGGGCAAAATCTATTCGATACAATGGAGAACTCATAATAAGAGTTGGTGAAACTCTTACGGATAGCTTGCCATTTGAATTTTTTAATGGTCATACTCATATGTGTTTGGAATCCAGGAGTATATGGATTGAGCTTGAGTCGGGATCGTAAGGAACAAAGCATAATTGTTTCTACAGTACAATTTAGGGGAGATGTCTTCCGGAAATTTAAATACTGAATTATCGAAGAAGTATGGGAATGTGAAACTATGGGTTTTGATCTGTATATGTATGGGTGCATTTATAGTTTTGATTCTTGGTATCTTATCAATGTGGGTCATTTTTTGGAGAAAATCTCGGAAAACTTTCAACATGTACTCCTTTTGCCAAATCCCTAACGTTTCAAAGGACATCCGAGTTGACAGCATTGGGGAACAAAGTATGCATGATCACCCTGAAAGTTTAATTTTGACTGTCAACGATAAATCAAGTGATAAGAATTCAGAGAAGATGTTAGTTCATTTGGGTAGGAGCAAATCAAGCGATGTTGATAATAGTAGCCAGTGCAGTTCAATGTATCATCATGAAAGGGCGGGTAGTTCTCACTCAGGAGAAGAAGGTAGTTCTGTGGCTGCCCAAAAACAATCTTCAATGTCATATGGGCTCGTGATGGCATCTCCTTTAATTGGTTTGCCTGAAACATCTCATCTTGGGTGGGGTCATTGGTTCACACTTAGAGATCTCGAAATTGCAACAAATCGGTTCTCGGCAGATAACATTCTAGGGGAAGGTGGTTATGGGGTTGTGTACCAGGGCAGACTGGTTAATGGAACAGATGTAGCAGTTAAGAAGCTTCTTAATAATCTGTGAGTACTCTTCCAACTTTACTCAAATGTTTCTTTACCATCTATAGAGCTTGTATGACTGATGTTCATGATCGAATTACGAATTGCCTTGCAGTGGCCAAGCAGAGAAAGAATTTAGTGTTGAAGTAGAGGCCATTGGTCATGTTAGACATAAGAATCTTGTGCGGCTTCTTGGCTATTGCATAGAAGGAGTTCACAGGTTAGTTCAGCATAGATTTGAAGCTGCTTTTCAGGTTCCTATGGTGACTTCTTGTAGTTGAATGCTCCATTTGTTTTTCTTAATTTTCTTGAGCCAGGTTTCTACTTGCATTTCTGTTAGCTGAGATTTTATATATATATATTTTTTTTTTCGTTCAAAGGATGTTGGTATATGAGTATGTCAACAACGGCAACCTGGAGCAGTGGCTTCATGGGGCTATGAGACAGCATGGCACCCTTACATGGGAAGCCCGTATGAAAGTTCTGCTTGGAACAGCGAAAGCGTAAGTACATCCTTTATTACAAAGTATTTGAACATGCATTTGTCTTTCACATCAGCCATTTGATTTAATGCAATCATTTACCAAGGCTTTTAACATTCCGCACCAGCCAAGTCAAGTTTACCATTTTGTATGGTGTACAGCTTTTATTCCGTATATTGAACTAAACTGAAAGTGAACAATTTGACAAAATGTTCAACCACTATTAAGAATTTAACTTCTGTCCTTGGCTTCAATCATTGTCTCATGTTGGGTTTGCAGGCTTGCTTATTTGCACGAAGCTATTGAACCAAAAGTTGTTCACCGAGACATCAAATCAAGTAATATCTTAATTGATGATGAGTTCAATGCTAAAGTTTCTGATTTTGGATTGGCGAAGCTCTTGGGATCTGGGGAGAGCCATATAACAACAAGAGTGATGGGAACATTTGGGTACGGGTTCTTGTCTGAGTCCAATTCTTACTATTCGCTCTGGTTGTTTATCTGATGCTACAGTGATAACAGGCGTCTTCTTTAAAATTTCAGTTATGTGGCTCCCGAATATGCAAATACTGGCTTGTTGAATGAAAAGAGTGACGTTTACAGTTTTGGTGTTCTGCTGCTTGAAGCTGTTACTGGTAGAGATCCGGTGGACTATGGACGTCCAGCTGTTGAGGTAGAAAATCCTCAGTATATAGGGTATATGCTACTGAAGTGAGTGTTTTGCAATTATAGTAATGATCCATACTTTTCTTATGGCAGGTAAATCTTGTTGAGTGGCTCAAAATGATGGTAGGGAACAGAAGAGCAGAGGAAGTTGTGGACCCTAACCTTGAAGTTAGGCCAACGACGCGCGCTTTAAAATGTGCACTTCTGGTTGCACTTAGGTGCGTTGATCCTGATTCGCAGAAACGACCCAAAATGAGTCAGGTTGTTCGAATGCTCGAAGCTGATGAATTCCCCTACCGCGAGGTTGAATTTCCTTTCTATGAAATTCTATTGAGTTGCTAAGTTGCTTTTCCTAAATTAGTTTTTGAATGCCTATCTTTTTTATTACTGCTTTCTGACAATTTAAAACGTTTTAGCAAAACCTCCTCCTAAAGCACACGAAAAGACTAAGAGCAAGTTTGGTAAAGATTTTTCAAGTTCATAATCTTGTCAAACATCATTTTATTCCACACATTTCTAAGGGCCCACAATTTTTATCCACCAATTCCCTAGGACCCACGACTTATAATTTACTAGAAGCTTTCCCAAACACAATATCATGCCACTGCAAGTAAACGCGCAAAGGATTTAATATGCTTGGTTCACCAGTGAATTTCACAATGTAGTAGTGGTAGTCATTTAACGAGAATGATTACAATGTAATTCTCAACTCTACCAATTAGAAACCTTATCCCAAAATCCAAGCATTTTGTCTTAATATTTCATTTAGTCTTGATATTTTTGTATCTACAAAGGAAAATTTCCTGCTTTATTATGTCTCAGTGCTTGTGAATCACCTTGGATGGAACGCTCAAGCTACTAAAAAACATACAGTAAATTTGTTTATGAATATTCCTGTCTATATGTAGTTGAATCGAATGATAATCTACTTCAGTCCGTAGATCAAGGCTGCTATTTTCTGGTCTTTCAAAGATTCTCTCTTGTTGTGCATATGCAAATGTGAAATGCATCAGTTTTGAAAAACAACGGTGTATAATGGACTAGTAGGACACGTAGAGCAAAATGAACCTAGTGTAACTATAGAAGATATGATTTCATAGATCTTTTTTGTCATCTGTAAATTTTATTTAACTCAGGACTTCATCGAACAATTTGAGGTAATAACTAGACTACAAGATTTACGCCCCGAACTTTGAATTTTTCATTGCTGCAGGATCGGAGGACGAGAAAAAGCAGAACAACTAGCATGGAAATCGAATCAATGGAGGGGGGCTGCGGTTCTTCAGCTGACCAAGAAAGCAGCGGGGTAGGACAATCAGAGAGCCATACATCTGAACAAAAGCTTGGATAAGACTGACAGACTAATCCCCCTTGGGTGAATAATTGCTTCTCACCCTTCTAGTGCTATTCAAATTTTCAAAATTTGTTTCCCTATATGAAAGTCGAGTAATTGAGAAAAAAGGGATATAGTCAGTTCTAAATTCTTGAATCATCGGCAGCTCTTTCAGTGTGTTTGCTGTCGTCTAGTTGTAGTAGGATGAGGGACGGTGCTATAGATATAAACTAGGTGAGGAACCAGAGAATGTTTGTCTGCATGTACAGATTTGATTTGTGGATTAATAGCTCGTCTTGAAAACTTATTATGATCATAATTTTTGCTATCTTTTTCGGAAGTCTCACTCTTATGATCATCATTCCATAATACTTGTTGGTTTGTTATGTTTCTTTCATTTTTTGTGACATATCTTGCAACCCCTGACCTGTCTGGACCCCACCCTACCCCTTCTCTTTCTCCCACTTGTTGATAAAGTGGGCAAGCATGAACCAGGGCCGGGGGTGTATTTGTGAAGACAAGGACCTGTGTGCGGAATACATCTCCTGGCAGCTCCTCGAGGCGCGCAGGCAATTTCGGTAAACATGGGATTGAGACACAGAGAACCTAGTAGTCCCCACAGTGTTTAAATTTAGTGTCATTCACCTCTTACTAGTACAATTTTTTTTTGTCGAGTTTTGCAAGGATTCAACGGTCATATGATCATCAATTCTGACAGTAGGATAGGATAAGATTCTTAATTAACTAAAGTACATGAAAAAATGTTAATTTAACATGATATCTGAAGAGATATAGGTCTTGCATTCAATTCTCTCATCGCCTCCTTGCACGCACAACGTGAGAGAAAACTATGACACGTCCCCATATTTTTCGTCCATTTTTTCAAAGATACTCAACTTGGACTTGGGGTGTAGAGTTGGTCGAGCTACTTGATTTCTGCCCAACTGAGTCTTCATTTTGCACGTCTCTTGCTTGGGTAAAAAGTACAGTTGTGCTAGAATAGCTAGTCAAAGATAACAAGATACCTTACAATTTTTTTAGTAGATCTAATTTGATTAAATTTGCAATGATAAAAACATATCGCGAGAAAAAAAATTATTGAAGTGATCGCTAATTTAGGTAAAAATGGTTTTTTTGAAAAAAAGAACTGTCATTTACTATTTTTCATGAAGGTTAAGGATTAAATCCGAGTACTTTGATATGATGTTGAGTCACAATTTCTAAATTTTTAAACTATTAGATGCGGAAACAAAATGACTTACACAAATTATGTTTCGACCGGTTAGGCTTAGAATTTAATCCAGAGTAATCACGTTTTTCTTTGGTCAATATATAGTTAATATATATAATATTCAATAAAAATTAAATAGTTTGTAAAACATCTTTTCAATTAACTTCTTATTACTTGAACTGTGAAGCTTAGGTTAATCTTACTTGAAAATGTAAATAAACAAATATATTGTCTCACTAAAATCATAAAATTTCAAATGAGAGAGTTTAACACTCAGACGAACGGACAAAGGGTGACGACCGCTTCCACAACATTCAAATTTTTTCTAAAGCTATACATATTTGCACCTCAAAATTTTTCGCCCTCAAATGTGAAAAGTCTAGCTCCATCATTGGTTTTACACAATATTGTAGCAAATATATGTCATGTGTGATTAAAAATTAAGTTTAATTATTAATAAATGATTTATAATATAGCCAACAATAAAGTTATTTGTACAACCCTGATTGACAATCATTGTTGATAACCTTGGTGTTATCAAAATTCGAGCCATTGCTTTAAAAAATAGTTTTTAAAACGGATGAATGTCATGCTGCCACTCTTTTGCTTTAAAACGAGAAGTATTAAATAGACATTAAACTAGAGCTAGGAGATAGATCCGCATACTGAATACCCACACTCAAGGAACAGGCCAAGACTTCAAATGTGTGGATTTGCTGATCTATGAGTGATTAAGGTGGTCATCTGGGGAGTTGGGATGGAAAAAAAATGAATTACTTTTGTTTCATAAACTTAATTGGTTACTTTCAATTACGTAAATCAATAGTTTAAACAACACTTACGTAAGACATTTCCCATTTTGAGGAATTTGATTTGACTATTCATTTACATAGGCAAAACTAGCCGGGAACGTAGTACTAAAGAAATATCATTTAGCATAAGCAGTGAGCAACTACTAGGGATGATGCTTGGCTGCGGTAATAAGGTAGCCAGCGCCTCTCAAAACACTTTTCTAGTTAGTGCTTTAATCCATGTTTCTAGTGGGCCAAGTGGGAGCAATCAACAATCTATTCATTAGTTTGAGTTTTTGGAATTCCAAGAGAACGCAATGCTTACTCTCTTCAATCTCCAGTTCAAAAGCCTACCATCCTACCAACGAGCTTGAAATCTCGATGTTGATTTGCAATCTGACTAGCATCGTTATTGTTACAATGAAAAGGCGTTGCAATGGTGAGATGAACTACAAGATCAGATAGAAGCCTGTGTAATCAAACCACTTTACTAGTAGCTACAAGCATAGCCTAGTATTTTGCCTTTGCTTAGATCATAACTAAACTAGTTTATTCTCCTTCGCCTATCGACTAGTTGGCTTGTTGCAACTTTTGCATTTCTTGTTGAGATCCCAAGTATGCCTCCATTCAGTAGAGAAGGAGAACCTACTGAATGAGTCTCCAATCAATCATAGATAGGTGAGAAACTTATAGGATTTGCCTATTTCATGTAGTGTCCATTGTCAAATTGGACGTGATTTTACGAAGCGTCTAAGCATGGTTCACTTACGTTGTTTAATCTATGAAGTTGTCAACGAATGTTACACAAATAGCATGATTCATATAGCCAAATGGAGGATTGATACTTATTAAGCTTTTGATACATATAAATGGATCCACTCTATCACATGTGATGATGAGTTGATATAATAAATTCATTCTTTTTCGAACATCTTAAATTTTTAGACAATTTGATTTCATATATAAATGTGCCACATATGGCTATTGGAGAGGAGACTATAAGCATAAAATATGTGCTTATAGGAATTCAATCGTATGTGTATCAAAGTATGGTGATGGACGTTGAGATATTCGTCAGTAATAATTTCACTCAACGAAAATTTGTGTAGAACCAATCCTTTCAACATATCATCAACTATGAAAAACTTCAATGTGGAATACCCCAGCCATCACCCATCTCTTCTTTTTCTTTTCATTTTTTTTCTTCTTCTTCCTTCATTTTTTATTTGGTGAGTGATGATTATTTGAATTTAGATGCCATCACCTATGGCCTATCAGTTGGTGATGGTCTATTTGTTGATGATAGTCACTGTTACGCCCCCTATCTGAACCACTTCGAAAAATCTTCCACTTTGTTAGACGAGGTGTCCAACACCCATCCGAAGTGGATCCGAAGTGACTCCATCACTCTACGAGGCACGAACAATCATACTGAACCAACCGAAGCATTCCTTGCTCCGACCCCCCTCCCGAAGTACAATGCACTCCGATGACCTCTGTCAGAGGATCCACCGCCAATTTCAGAAAGAGATCTGTGTCAAGATCCTCTCGTCTCCCAAAGTTTAATTGATTTGACGTCTCCATGAGCCTAGTTGATGTGACTTATTAACTTTATGTCAACTCAACTCGGGAAAAGTTATTACCCGCCCACTCTATAGACGTGGCTGATTAACGCCTATGAGCAGACGCCTCACACCGTCAGATGCATGCACGTATCCCACATCTAATGATTCTCCTCAACTATAAATACCCAAGGTTTGACAAGAGGCAAGGGTAATGAAACTCTTACAACTTATCTCTTCAAAACAAGTAAATATATATTCTCATCCCCACCCTTTTTGCACAACCTTGGCACTGTTCCGATCACCAGGAGCTAACTTGACCGTCGGAGTGTATACGACCACCGCCACCCCCGCTGGTTCCCGCCGTGTGCATCTGATCGTGCGTTGACTGTGCACAGGGAGGATTACGTGGAGCAGCTATCGATTGGCCACGTGGAGGGTCCAATTAACGAGGTCAACAAATTGGCGCCGTATGTGGGAAATCACTTCCCATCCAAAGGTCTACATTTTCCACCGGAAAAGCCACCGAAAAACCCTTAACTTACCATGAAAAGGGGACGTTCTTGAAAAAAAAAGTCGAATTACAACCCAGATCCTCATCACCCTTGAAAAAGGAGTAGATAAGATGAGTTCCAGCAATGAGGATGTGAACCCCAGGATGGACGCCTCTAAAGAAGAGGTGCTTCGAAACAATGTCACTCACCAAAGGCCCCATCACCGGCGTCGCTGAGGTGAAAGAACGGCTACGCTCACTGAAGAAATGGCCCAAATAGTTGCGGGCATGAGAGAGATCGCAGCTCAGAATACGGCGATGCATGAATTTTTCATGCGAGCCCAAGGTCACCAGGGCGCCCAACTGCCCCAAGAATCTTACCCAGCTCACGAAGTCTCTGTGTCTCATTCCTGAGGCCATATGAGCCAGCACAGAATAACCCCCCTCGAGAGAGAAGTGGGTACGGAAGTCACATCCTATGTGCAAGGGAGTCAGCCAGCAGAACCGCAATTGGGGGATAACTTCCCACCAGAACATAAAGCACAGAGGTCGGTCAGTATCTTTGACCGGATAGGGCAGGACCCTAGTAATAGGGTTTGCTTAGTGGAAAGATTAGTTCGACAAGGGGAAGAACAAGAACAAGCGCCCCTTCCTCCTAGAAATAGGAAGGAGAGAAGAAATTTAGTTGATTGGGGTAGCAGAAGAAAAGCACTTGCACCCCCCAGAACACGCAAGATGAACAGGACTCTGAAGGGCCATGTCGATCTTACAAGATTGATGATGATGATAATCTCCCTTTCTCAAGGGAGATCCGAGACTCCCTGATGCCTGCAAACTTCTTACCACCTAAAATCTCCAAGTACGAAAGAAAAGGGGACCTGGAGAAGCATCTCACAAAGTACATGACACAAATGAGTCTCAGAGGAGCCTCGCCTGCATTGAAATGCAGAGCCTTCCACCTAACCCTGGCAGGAGCCGCCGAAGTGTGGTACAGCAGGCTGCCTCCTTTGAGCATTAGGAGTTGGCCAGAGCTAGAAAAGGCCTTTTTGAATCAATACCTCTCGCGTAGAGAGGGAGAGGCCCCAGTGCAAGGCCTGCAAAATATGAGACAAGCTCCTAGAGAAACGTTGAAAATCTACCTCGCCAAGTTTACGGATGAGATCACCTACTGGTAGCAGGTCACTGACAGAGAAGCCCTTTCAGCCTTGAAAGACGGCCTCAACATGAACACTTTGTTCTGGAGGGATATACGCAGCAAGAATC